CAATTAAAATAAAAACACGAAAGGAAATTCTGGCCTTGTGTTTTATTCATGTGAATATTAAATTGCCTTTGGTAAATTTAAATTTCAATCGCTGAATTCCAGGCAAAGAAATGTGAAACTAAGTAAAAAGGTTCAGTTTCCATCTGCGGTCGAACTAATGAAGTGAAAAACTTTAGCCAATCAAGTAAGAACTGCAAAATAAATAACCTCAGAAACTATTAAATGCAAACAAATCTCATAAATAAATACACTATAGTTCATAAAAATTTGCAGTTTTTCACACCATTCACATGACTACCTCATTAGCTAATTATATAATTTCTGTGTTTTCTTTTCGTATCATCAAAATCAGCATACTTTATAAAATTGCACCACACAATTGCATTATAGCATTTGAAGAAGCTGAAAGGAAACCACTGAATCCAATAATGTTATTTGGTCGAAACATGGGCACTAAGTAAATCTATGGAAACCAGACTATAGAACTAGTCAAAATACACAAGAACACAAATAAAACATGTACATGAAAATTTAGAACGCCTGAGGACGGAATAAGCCAAATTATATGAGCATAATTCATAAAATTGCCAAACCCCATTAACATGATTAGCATATATGTACAACCACTTTGGGTAGAACTCGGAAGGGTGTCCAAAGTGCTTATAGATTGTTACAAATTAGGAACGCATAAACACATGGGGGTGTTTGCTGGTAATTTTAAGCCCATTAAAATAAATTTTTGACCGTTATTTCAGCATTTCAGCGTCATTTTTGAATTTTCGTAGTTCTACTTTTATCTCTAATGATCAAAAAAATCAATTCTCAAAATCCATACCAAACACCCTCATACATAGATGGAATTACAAAAACCCTAGGACAAAATTAGCAAGAACATATGCAAAGAGTAATTAAGAATACAGATACCTGCATGAAATTGTAGCGTTCCCTCCCAATTGATTCATTTTCTGCTACAGCAAAGTATGCTAACATCGGATAATGCCCAATATACGAAGCGTAACTATCGCGTTGAATATTCACCGCCCATTCACTAAACATTGTTTAGCACCAAAAAAGTAATCATTAGAATATTAACGAAATATATTATGTATTAACTGATAAATTAATTAAAACCGAATTTCAGAATTTGCGAGGAAACTAACAATCGATTCAAATCGGCGTGGCCTGTACCGACATATTTAGCTTGTAAATGCTCAAGCTGCGAGTTGATGTTGAACCTGTCACTTGCCTGCATCCTCACAGAAAGAGCAAAGAAGATTAACTTCAGTTCAGTAATACAATTTGCAGAAAGTATTATGGTTTTCGTGATCCTTACCTGCATTTTGAACTCGAAAGCGATTGGGCAGAAGCGTGATAACGGGAATGGCATATGGATATTTAAGTATTAAGTGTAAAGTGAAAAAGATAAACGTCCGCTCTCGTAGCTCAGTTGGTTAGAGCACCCGTTTAGTAAGCGGGAGGTCTTGAGTTCGACTCTCAACGAGAGCATTTGAAACTAATTAAATTTTCTTTATTTTTCAAATAATTAATTTACTTGTTTGTGGCCAAGGAAAAATATAAAAATCAAAAAGACTAAAATATAGTTAAATTACATTTTAATTGCATTGAAGGTATGATGTTTACTCATTATTATATTTTTTTTATTTTTTTTCGTTGCAATCTTAATCTAAAATTAACATAAGTTGTCCTAGATGTCAATTTATGTTCAAATTTTCATTAAAATAGAGTAAAACTATTTATTTGACTCTCTCATTTTTAAGTAAGTAAAAAAAAAAAAAAATTAAGATTAAATATATATCTTTCGTTTTACGGCATCTAACAATAATTTTTGGACGAAAGTCTTGATTAAGAACGAGATTTGCAAGTTAATGAAACATTAGATATAAAAATATAATAAAAAGTTAAGGGTATAAAGAGATAATAAATAAAGGTTAAGAACATTTTATTGCGGATCCCACCGCCTTATATGAGAGGATTGTCAACAATGGTGTACAAAAATACAGTACAAATAACAAAATTCTAAAAGAAAAATCACATATAAATGAAGCCGGAAAAAATGAAAATAAAAATGAGTACTGGAAATCTTACAAAATATAATAAAAACATTTGAATGTTATCTCAATTCATCTTATATTACAGCTTATAAGGTAGAAATGTTTTCGTGGCTTTCCCTTGCGAGCTACCGATTTTCATTTTTTTTTTTTAATATTAAGGTGAAATCACAACAAATGAATATTCGATAAATTAGTAAATTTAATTAAATAATAAAATATTTTCAGGTTAGTGCACTAAATTAATCATCTTATTATAGGTATAAGATAATAATTGTATTTGAAATTCCAAAAAAAAAAAATTAAAATAAAATAAAAATTAATTAAATTAGTAAAAGTTTAGAATACAAAAGGAAAACTTATTTGACAATTTTTAATTTTTTACCGATGGAGATTTTTCTTTTTTATATACGTGTGTGTGTGGGGGGGGGGGGGGGGGGGGTTTTGGGGCACTTGGACCATATAATAGAAAATAGAAAAGAAATTTTAAAACATCTGTGTAACAAGCATTTATTTATTTAGAAAGAAAAGAGAAATATGCATCTGAAAAACATTAATGTAAGAAAACAATAGGTGTTGCCGTTGCTCGAAGTGTGGATTTATTATCCACTTAAAAGATTTCACCAACAAAAATCAAAATTTATAAAAAAAAAAAAAAAAAAAGTTTTGTTTTTTTTTGGAAAAAAAAAAAAAAAAAAAAAAAAAGAGAGAGAAGATTTCACAATATTGTACTATAATGTCTTGTCAAGTAGGCATTATGCGTGTTTTTGCTAGTGATTCCACTCAAATTTTAATGAAAAATTTGATCATTATACACAGTAAATAGACCCCACATTTGTGAAATTGACAAAAAAGGGGACAAAAACAGCAATTGTCTTTCACCTAGTATATGAAATCCAAAAAATGTCCTTGTAATGATGTGAAATTTAAAATATGTAGAGAAATCATGGTCTTTTCACTAAAATTTCTAATTGACTAGACGGTGCAGTAAAAATGTTGCAACATTGTGGGCCCCATTTTTTATTGATAACGGACGAATTTCTCATTATAATTTGAAAAGAATCACTTCCAAACACACGCTATATTTTTTTGTTTTGTTTTATTTATTTATTTATGCAATGCAATGCAATGCAATGCAATGCAATGCAATGCATATATCACACTTGGTATATACTTTCATTATGTAGAAAGTATTATTTAAGGTCTTGATTGCTTGAAGGACTACTTATGGAGAAATAGTTAGCAAAACACAACTATAACATGCATCATGGTCATTCATAGCATGCGTAGTACTCCACGAAAAATTTCTTCATTAATAGGCGATTCTGATTTTCTCTAGCACAATTTAAAAGGTGCTCAACATTCATCACTTCATGGTAGTAGCATAAGAGTTTGTTTGGTATAGCTATTGCAAATGAAATTTTAGAAGTAGAGCTTTTATTAATGCTATTGACTATTTGGTTGTGAAGTCAAGTTCGGTGAATATTAAATTGATTGTTTGGTAATATTACCATAAAATTATTTATTTATAAATTAATAACTCCCCAAAAGCAATAATTTTTTAATTCCAACAATATTACTTCATAAAAAGTTTTACTATATCTAAAAAGCGAGTGATGTTTTAGAAGTTTATTATAAGTTTTAAATACACTTTTCCATCGATCAGAGTTTACTTTTTAGTATTTTTGGCCATACATTCAAGTAGATAGAGAACCTAATATTAAGTCTGACCTTAAAATATGGCCTCGTAAAAACCTTCTTGATTGCTTCCCTTGTCGAAGAATATTTAGTTCCCTGTTTGTCTTCCATTCTCTTTCATTTCTTCTCCTTTCTTTTATTTTCAATCACACAATCTTTCATAAAATAATATATCATGGAAATCGAAATTTTTTTATTCTTTTTCAACTATACATTCTTTAAAAAAATACTATTCTAAACATTAAAATTCGAAAAAAAAATGGAGGCCAAACAGACACTTATTGAGAGTAGAAACAAAAAAAAGGGAGGAACTTTACAAGCTTCACAAACTACCAAGTTATCAATTAACCAACTCCTTTCTCTAAGGAGCTGAAAGTCATAAACTGAGCCCCTCTTTGATGACCACTATTGAGAAAAAAATAATGATATTTTAAATAGTGATTTTTCGAAGAATTTGTGATTAAAAAGTAGAGAAAAATTTTAATTTACGTGGAAAATATTTTATTATGTTAATGTGTGATTGAAAATGAATATGAGAATTAAATTTATATTTTAAAAGGGAGACAAACAAGGACATAATCAATTGCTTCATGCCTTTTTATTGGCACCAAAGAAATTGAATTTTAAACAAAGTACAAATTGAGTAGAAATATCAGACAGAATAAATTGAACCATGCTAGAAGTACAATGGAGTGTACAACTTGGTTGACAAGGGGGCCGGCTGTGGGATTGTACAAATAGAATAATTCAAATAAGTTTATTAAACAGGTAAATGAAGGAAATTGGCAGTCACACACCAGACTGTCAAAACTTTCTCAAACACAAATATCTGTGATGTTTAAAACTGCTTTTGCTTCAGTTAATCTATGCTCAAAACTTACATGAGCAATGAATTACAGTATCTACAGGTGACGGGGAGAAAGAATTAAACATCGACTATCAAGACAGAAAAACGATGAAATATATACACTGAGGCTATGATTTGCACAGGCTCAAACAAGCCACATATACTTGCAAAACCACTTTTGCAAGAATCCTTGCAAGTTAAGTACATGGAGATGAAAGCAGCCTAACGAAACCTATTCATTTCAGAAGCTGGACGATTTGCTACAGTTGTTGAATACTATCATCAGACTGGAGAAGTTTATGATTCACCCGGTTTAGGATCTTCCAATGTGGGGGGTAGCAGATTGAGAAAACTTCCTTGAGCAGATTGACCGGCAGTAGAATTCAGTTCATCATCTGTTACGTGTAAAACGATGGAATTCAATATTTATTTCATGTATATATTTAGGCTACATATAACAGGTATTCTATAAGAGAGGGAAAAAGAATCCTACTGAAAAGGGACTTCACAGTAGGTCTCCTTGGTTTGGTGCTTTTCTTCTTCAATTGGACTGGGAGTAAAAAGAAAAGCAAAAGAAAATAGTTTATTTATGACATAAACGGAATAAAAATAAAGGATTTTGCTACTTGTACATAAAAAAATATATACATAATGGATTACATAATATGATGTGGAGAAAAACGATTGGATGAAAAAGTTAATTGTTTTTTAAACTGACAAATGATAGAGTGCCATGAGGCATTATGTAATCCATTATGTAAATCATTATATACATGTAGCAAGATCCAAAAATAAATGTAATACATGTAAGCTTATTTGCAATAAACTTGGTACGGCTACAAGAATACTATACATAGCTACCCACTTTAATAATAGTTAAGTTTAGCTATATACCTTCTATTATGTTCATGCTTTCAGTGAATATGGTTTTTTATAGGTACAATCAAGAAATGTCTTGACAGACTAAAACATCGCTCTTAATTTATTTTTGAACACTCAGCAGCGTATACCTCATTTTCTACTTCACACATTTTAGTATGACCACGTAACCATTTTTAACATTTTCAGTTCTCCATCATCTCGTTATGGACATCACGACTGGTCTAATAACCATTCTATCGAACTTGCCTTTTAACTAGGGTAGATATATTTTAATTACACAAAATATATTTCATCCAACTAATTCTAGTTGTCTATCCTCTTCAAATTCTTTTTTCTTAACGATCAAACCTAAATGCCTAGAACAATCACTTTTTGGGACAACACAATCCTCTATTTTGACTCACTCACATCCTTGTTCCGACTATGAGAAAGATTGTTCTGCAAATTTATTTCAGCTAAAGAAACACAAACAATAAATTAAAATAATATCACGATCCATGAGATGTGAAATGTAAAATTATAAAGGTACAGAAGCTAATTTGTCAAAGTGGGAACAGAATACCAATTCCAGGAACTTCATGATCATTCACGATTTCAAAGTTCTTATAGGTGTAACCCATAAAGTTCACATCCTTGGAAGGGAGCATCTGCAGGCATAAAAGGATGCTAAATAAATAAAAACCGATGAAATCTTATAATGCTATAGCAGAAACCAATTAAACACTCACAGACAAGCTTCATTGATCACAATTGAAAGGAAAACCATGATCATGTGCTCTAACATTACAGGATCAACTAATTGGTAAAACTTTCCAGCCAAAGCCAAAAATCAGCAAATATAAATGGCTCAGGTGCAAGTCACATGTCAGAACAGAGCAGTCACGCTTCATTAATATCACTGATAATGGAGAATTTTTTTTATTTTTTATTTTTATTTTTTTTGTGCATCGGCACTTGGCAGCTTAACCACTCCTTTTGGAGCACTCTTCTGCTATATCATACACTTCAACGTAAGAGTGGTATCCTAATTCATACCAGGGGTGATTGTAGGGAGCTCCCTAGGCTACACCACCACCCCAAAAAAATTGTGGGAAATTTTTTGTATGCGGATTGCTTTTTTCATATATATTAGCCAGCCCACCTCAAACACAGCTTTCTAGCTCCGTCCCCCGATTCATACTATAACTAAATATCACCAAGATATACAACATAACAAGAAGTGCACTATCACATCCGAAACAGTTTTCCATATGGACAGGCACAATGCAGAATCCTAAATTCTAGCTTGAAATGTTAAATGCAGTTTCATGTACAAACCTTCCTCCAGGGACCCGATTTCGTTGCCATGGGGACTTGATTGCCAGACTGCAAAAACAAAAGAACATTAGTCAATAAAAATAACAAAGGGAATAATCTAGACCTGGGCATAATCATAAAGGGAGAAGACCTCTTCAAACTTTTCAAAGTTTTGAGTATCCAATTCATCGTTAACTTCTGGAATGAATGCAGCTTTCATTTGATACAACTTATTCCATTCAATGCCTTTGAACCACGGGTGAGCCTGGAAAGATAGTGCAACAGGCAGTTCAACTGTTAGCTTGACATTTGGAATCCTAAAAGATACCATTAAGACACTTCATAAAGCACCTTAATTTCGTCTGCGCCTCTTGTTCCAAGCCTCTGCTCTACATTACATAAGAGCTTGCAGATAAGATCTTTTGCTTCTGGTGATATCTTTGCCTCTTCTGGAAATTTTAAATGAGTTCTCCAGTTTACTATCTGCACCAAAATTAAAAGGCAAATTTCTAAATCAAGACAGGAATTGGATTGAGAGAATCAAGTTACACCACATACCAACAAGACTGTATCAATGAAGATCACAATAAAATGGAGGCTATTATTGCAAGCCTAAGAAAAATTAATTTATGATATGCATTCTTTACAGTATTTTTCATACTCACCATAATGAGCATGACTTAGAAAATATATTATTTGATTTAAACAGAATAAAATTCTTAAAGATTATTTACACTAACTTGCCCTGTTTCTATATAAGTTGCATGCTCAATTGATCTTATGTCTATGGCCAAAAATGGCAAGTAAACACTACGAATAATACAGATAAACATTGAAAGTTAAGATATACTGGTCTATTATAGTCAATTCAAAGTTACATGACAAGTACATCCCAAGACAATCACACTTGTGTAAAAGAGAACACCATTATTACCTTTCTACACGTAGACATAGGTTCATCGGAATAGAAAGGTGGATATCCCACGAGCATTTCATACATGATAGCCCCAAGAGACCACCTGTGACATATACAAATGGTCCAGACAGAAACAATTACATAAACAAATAGATCTTCATTTCCAAATGAAATATGAAAAGGAATGCATTAGGAAACTACATACCAATCGCATTCCATTCCATATCCTCTCTTCAGCAAAACTTCTGGAGCAATATAATCAGGTGTACCAACAGTCGAATAGGCCTACATCATCAGATATAGAAACAGACACAATATAATCACAATCAGAAATTGCACTCAACAACCCTCTTCCACAAGAAAGAAGACTTAACTTCCATCCTTGATAATTTTGTAGGCCAACTATTTACACCAGAATAGACTATCAGAGTCAAGGTTTCAAGTTATAGAGAACTAGGAAGGACATTATTAACTCAATAGTCTATCATGCAGACCAGTAGATATTTGATAATGGTTCTAATCGAATCCACATAAATTTCCATTGTTCTATGTGTAAAACTTGAAACATAACGTTTGGAACACTACAAAACACGCTTTAAGGAAACATACAATATAAAGATGGCCAGTTGATTAAGTTCCCTTGCTGATGCCAGCATAAAAAAAAATACAGGACAAATGAACAGAGAGGAAGAGACAAAACTTGCATCTCTATCTTTATTGGTAAATCAGTCTAGTTTACTCATTCTTGAACACAAAATTGGGGTTTCTAGTTGTGAGGTTGCGGACTGGGAAATTAGGAAAGTGAATGACAGTCATGTGGAGATAGGAAGCTTACAAGCATCCTTCTGTTCCTTTGCCAATGCAGCAGTTGCTCCTGCTGAGTGCGCTTCGGTTTTGCAGGGCGCCCATCACTTTGAAGTGCCCCACTATAGTTATTTCCAACTGAAAAATCCTTTTCTTGAATATTGCTGCAATCCAACGGTTTACATAATCCAAAATCTGACAATTTCATATGTCCATTTCTATCCAAAAGCAAGTTATCAGGCTTGATATCTCTGCAAAAATTTTCAGAGAAACAATTATACCACAATAACAAGTCAAGAGAGTGCCAGCAAACCAGTTGAGAATTAGTACCAACCTATGAATATAATTATGTTTGTGAATAGATTCAATAGCTAGGACAGTTTCTCCAACATAAAACCTGGCCTCATCTTCAGTTAATGTGTCTTTACGCATTAACAAAGTCATCATATCTCCACCAGGGAGGTATTCCATTATTAGATAAAGATACTCTTCATCTTGGAAAGAACAATAAAGTTTGACAATGCAGTTGCTGTCAACTTCAGCCAGTAGATTCCTTTCTGCTTTGACATGTTCAACCTAGAGAAAGAAGGGAAAAGAAATAAGCACAAATGCTCGATAAAAAAAACTCAATGTAATTGTTCATTTTATTGGCATGCCGAATTAATTCTACCTGACCCCTACGAAGCATTTCCGACTTCTTAAGCTTTTTCATGGCGTAAACTTTCCCAGTTGATTTCTCCCTACAAATTCTAACCTGCATCATGGCAAGCCATTCAAGTTAATGTATGCAAGCAAAAACTTCAGTAGTGACTGGAAATCAGCATCACCAAAATAATATTACTACAAATTTTCAATTGTTAAAGAGAAGAAAGCAAGTTGTAATTTACAAACCAAGTGAAGTACAACTAGAGACTAATCTTTGTAATACATCCTCAAGTCAAATTGTCTCCACCAGAAGGGTGTCATTTCACCTGACGAATGCTGAGTTTCACACTTTTTGATCATCTTCTGCCACATGCAGATATTTTAGGTTCCCATTGGGTTTTCCTTAGTTGACCCAATGGCTTCAAAAGAAGGCAGTTTAGTATGAAGAACTCCAGATACGAAGAATATTCGACATCCTTACTTTGTTGTATATGGAGAAATTCAATAATTTAAAGAAAGATCATGCACACCATTACAGAAAAGGAGGATTTGTAGACTTAAACAAGTTGGACAAGGAAATAAAGAGGGTGGAGAGAGAGAGAGAGAGATGACCTCTCCAAATGCACCCTTTCCTATTACTGTTAATGGCTCGAAATCATCAGCGCCCATTTTATGCCTTTGAAGGCGCATATATTCGGTTTCCTTTCTCTCCAAGTACTTCAATATGTTGTTTTGCTCTTCCTCAGAGACCTCAGAATCAGCCAGTTTTTTTTCAAGCATATTACGCCTGCAAGGAAACATGAGTTTTTATGATGAAATTCCCAGCACTTCAATTCAGAGAAATTCAGCAACCGTGTTCCAGTATGTAACAATGTAGTGAACAACATAAAGGGATTGAATGGGAAAATGAGGGGACCTTTTTTCCAATTTCTCCTATCAGGTTACTTCTAAGAGAAGGGGGTTGTTCCAAAAGAAAAAGGAAGGGGATTATAAAGAATGAAATCAATAGGGAAACCATTACAATTTGAAGGATCAGACACCAAGGACAAAGCAGAAACACACACAGTTGTCATTGACCACAAACCAAAATTATATTTTCATCTCATATATTTTTTAGGCTTTTCTACAAAGTAAACCACTAGGAAACCACTGCATTAATCATTTGAAAAAATGTTGTTCTGCATCCAAAAATGAAATAAAACCAGGGAATATCAGAATTTGATTTGACTGGAAACTGGAAAATCTGATTCAAAGAAAATACATCAATTCCATAACATATAGAAATGTTTTATTCTGGAAATTCAATCGCCAATCTAATATGGTCTATTCACATTAGCAGACTATCAGTTGATTTGAATACAACTGACCCTAGAAAATTACAGCTATTGAGCTTGAGTCTGATATAGAAACTAACCATAAACCAGCACAAGGAGGTAGATAGCCTCAAGTGATTAATTAGATAATTTTCCGGGATTCAAGAAAAACTTGATGCACAGTTTTTAATTCCCCAACTATTCCCCGCGCTCTCTCTCTCTCTTGTCCAATTCACTTTCTAACTCTTAAAATCAGCTCGTCAATTTTATACTGCTCCTCTTCTGCTGTCTTCTCTTCTCGAATTACAACATTTATCATCTACTCAACTAACCAAAATTTTTTTATGACACTCTCCACCACAAGATATGAAGATTCCATTAAAAGAAGGACTCTTCAAATGTCACTCAGAATTTATCTTGTGTGTTCGCACAGTTCTTCGTGAGAAGTTGGAGGGCGGTGGATCAGAAGTTAAATCAATATTCGACAGCCTAACTCTATGATGGTGGGAGATTAATGGCATAATAAATAATCTGAACTACAAAATTAGCATTCATAAAGTCAGAGCATTTTATGATGCTATCATTGGTGATAACAAGAATTTATAGTTCAGATGGATTTAGGTGTTGAGGGATGCAGCATGAGATACAAGCAACAACGACAACAGTCGCATGGAACTGTGAATGTAAAGACATCAAATACTTACTTGCAAGATGTATAGAAGAAGTAATAGATTACATTACTTTATCAAGTGGAATTCTTTTGAAAAAATGTGATAAATAAGTAGTTTTCCATGTTTAGTGGTGTGATAACTTCCAACGAAACTGTTGAGACATTTTCAATATTAATAACCACAATTTGAATCTAAAAAGTTTTATTTAAATCCTAAATGTACAACAATAATTGTCACAAAAAGTAACTAATCAGGTGATCACTTTTAGGAACATCGAATAGCAAATGCATCAATTTTCTACATGTGAATGATCTGTGACATTCATTGAGCAGATCTTGAAGAATGAATGGTCAGACAAACACTACCCTTTTCTAGAATTACAAACACCACCGGTACAGATACTCGAGCTTATCTGACATTAATGATGCTAAAGGGACAAAAGCAGAGGCGAAGGGAGGACTACTAAGTCACATGCCCCCACTGGCCATCCTAATTCATAATCAATAATTCCCTAATTCCCCACCACCGCCCCCAAGATCTAAACCCCACCCGTCCCTATAATGGAGTTACATTGTGTTTTGAATTGTATTTATTGACAGTTTGGATTATATTTTTTTCCCAATTCTGTTTTCGAGATGGTATAAATGGGAGTGCCAAAAAATTTATGTTTTCAATATATATATACAAGGCTGATGATTGTTGATCGATTATTGTGTTTAATTCTTTGATTTCTACTATTGTACATGGATCCTAAATTTATTTCTAGAGATATTTATTCGTAATCTTACTTGTTAATTGTTAAAATGGGTGTGTGACCAACTTTGTCAATTCAATAGTAATTTTTCGAGATGGGACACGTAGTCCTAAGAGATGGAAGAGGTTGATCTCGTATGTTCTTAGGTTCTTAATAATAGTTTGTGATTATTAGTTTAGTAAGAGGAAATGGAAGTGTTTTGACAAAAATATAGAGCTTTTAGGAAAATATAATTGTTGAACCACTTAGTCTTAAAGTTTAAGCTGTAAAATAAGATCACATGATTATTTAAAAATCGTCTCCAACAAGCCCCCTCCCGTATAGGTGGGTTCATTTTTCCCTCATCCAAGCTTTACCAGGGTACAATCTTTAGTAAATGGGTGGGCAGCAAGTCAATAGTTCTTCACTTTGAACACATCAAGGCTATTCAATTAGAATCTCATATATTCTTCAATTTTTTTGTAACTGCCAATTTTGCTTACATAAAGCTTTTAAGTGAAATTATTGTTTAGATAGGTCAATATGCTTACCATAAGTTTAGTTGTCATGAAACCATTTTTATGTATGTAAAATGTTACATTGTGTTTTATCCATGCTAATCCAACATTAGATCTTGAAATGTCAGTAGGGACAGGAAGCAGTCAAGAAGCACATGGAAGTTTGACAAAATTTTAATGCTTCAGGGCATTAAAAGTATGAATGTTAGGTTAAAACAAGACCATGTAATATGACGGAAAAATGAAGCACGTGGAAGTTCAACAAAATATTCAATGCTTCAAGACATTAAAAGCTATAATGTACTGACATGGACACTTGTATCCGACATGACATGTGTTAGACACGTCGATATGTGATTTTTAACAAAATTGACATGAGGCTTCGCCATTAAAATTCTTCACTCTGTTTGAACCCATTCTCTAAAAACTCATTTTTCCAAACTTATTTTCAACCATACATTCTTCCAATAAAATAATTTTCCACGTAAACCTAAAACTTTTTACTACTTTCTAACAACACATTATCCAAAAAATCACTATTCCAAAACTCACTCTTTTTTTTGCCCCTCGAAAAAAGGGGCTCAAGCACACTATTAGTTTTATACTTACTATTAATTTTACTTGTCAAGATTATTTAGATAATAGTACCTTTTTATTATTTAATAACAACGTTGAGTTACAAATATAATATTTATGATAAAAAAAAGAAAATAATCATGATAGAGTCTGAGGTTGGTATTCGACATGTGTCAGATATAGACACGCCAACCTAGTTGAAGTATCTGTGCAACGCGGATTAAAAGTATGAACATTCGGGATGATAAAACAAATACCATGTAATATGATATAAAACAAGAAGCACGTGGAAGTATGAACAAAAGATTCAGCAAGCAACCCCAATCAATAAGTAGATAGAGGACAGATAAAGCATACTAACTCACCATGGAAAACATATCAAAATGCACATCAGGATAACATGGAGGAAAAGGGTCTTACCGCTCCCTCCGTTCCTGCAGGCTCCTCATCTGCTCCTTGTAATGCTTTTCTATGTACTGCTTAGCAGCCTCAGCCTTCTGCTTAGTCGCAGAAGAAGGTATGTCCTCATTTGAAGGTGTTTTTGACCCTTCTTTCCCACTAGGAGTGGATTCCTTGTTACTTGAGGGTTTAGGTTTCTCTTTCAGATGTAATTTACCAAACCAACGCCTAGCAGTGTCCATCTAGCTTACCCTTTCCCAGTCAAAACAATGTTTCAGATGCTACAAATCTAATGTGTAAATATTCCACTTTCTTCGATGGTGAGCTTCAATGCATTAGAATGAAATGCTCTGAATTTCAGGCCCTGAATTAAGAAGAAAACACCATGTGATCAATCAAAAAGGGGCAGAATCTGTTTTATCAATCAGCAGACTTTTCTACTAGGTAATTAAAAAACAATTTGACTTCAATACTTCTATAGTTATTCTGATTCTTGATATCAATTTTCAATTGCTCGTTCCAATAATCCTCTATCCATTCCTAATCAAAAATTAAATTTCTATATACCTAATTAATTCTATGGCTAGTAAATCAAACTTCTCTTCTAACCACCCAGTACTAAAAACGCAAAATGACAAATAAATCCGACATTTAAGTTGGTTTAAAACTCAGAAAGAGTACAAGTCAAAGAACTAGAAAAAAAAATATCGATTAAGCTTGCCATTTGAAAGAGAAATACAAAAATAAGAAAAAAGTGCACAACTAAATTCGCAAATCCCTTGCACATCAATAAATGATCAGCAATCAAACCAAATGTGATTAACAATCTCCCTTTAAATGAAATCTCTAAACGCCCCCAAAGACAAAAACAAGTCGAACTTTTCAAGCAAATCACATAAATTTGCCCTCTAGAACAATACAGCTATTAAAAAAAAAAAAAATTCCAATTCTACACTGCAAAATTCAACACATCAAACGATCCACAGAAAACTCTCTTCTTAAAATCCTAAACTCAAAAGTGAAAATAATAGCAATAAAGCTGAATTTTACCTGTAAACACAATACAGCAAACCAGAAAACTGAACCAAACCTAACCAATCCAGAAAGTATAGAGAGAGTGATGAAGCGTAATTATTCAGCCAATTCTGTGCTATATAGAGTGAGAGAGATTGTGTATTCCGGAGAGAGAGAATAGCACAGTGAATTTTTACACCCAAAATTTCTAGAGAGAGAAATGTTCGTCGAAGAAGGAGAAGAAGACCGTGATGGTTCCTTTATGCTATGGTGACATACAAAGCGCGTAATAATAGAGGATAAATTAATCTTCCCATCTTTATTTCAACATCAGCACATCACTAATTAATTTTTTTAAGTTATTTGGATTTTGAAACCAAAAGACAATCTCAAATAAAGGAAATTCTTTTGTATAATACAATAAAGCTTCACGTACCAAAAAAAAAAAAAAAAAAAAAAAAATTTTATAATTTAATAATAAAAAAAAAGAATAAACAGAATATGTATCGACGTTAATGTGGTAAAATATGATTGAACTGTTTTTATTTTTTTTTTTCATCTTTCAATGATGTCGCACCATGTATAATTTGTAAGAATTTTCTGTCAAAAAATTCTGTACTTATAGGATAATTCTGTATAATATTATAATAATGTTATTTACAGTCACTCATTATCGTAGTCGTACTACGTGACATACATGTGACGGTTAGTGATGCATTAAATTACTAATCGTCACATGTATATTACAGTAGTGACGGTTAGTGATGCATTAAATCACTAATCATTACATTTATGTTACAGTAGTGAACGATTGCAAATAGCATTACAAATAATATTATTGCCCTTTTAATTCAACATAAAATAAGTATTTGTCTATATATTTATAAAATATTGGGGCCCACTAAAATTGTAGCGACGTAGCCTTGCGTGGAAGAGAGAGCGACTATTTTTTTTTTCCTTGCTTTTCAAGCAATCTGAAAATCTTTGCCAAATAAATTTTTTTCTTAATTAGTCGTAATCAGTGTTTGGCATTAATTATATTAATTTAGTAGGAATTAATTGTATCTTAATTGCAACGCCATTGAGAATCTGGCGGGGTCCGACGTCGGGCTTTTTTGGCGCCGTCACTTTTATGACTTTTTGGGAGTCCAATTTTTCCCCCCTTTTTTTTTTTTAGATTTTCTAAATATTTCTCTTTTTTAGTTTAAAACATTATCCGTAAGCATAATGCTAATTGTACATACTACTTACATATTGATGTACAGAATGATGACGTGACATTATATATTAAAAAATTTAATTGATTTCCTTCATTTATTTTTTACTCTCTCTCTCTCTCTCTCTTCCATATTGTCTCTCTTTCTCTGTACATCAATCTGTAAATAATTATGTACAAGTGGTATTACTCTATCCGTAATCATAATGCATGCCCTAATGTTTGTTTTGAGGGTAGTTAATTCCTCTTCTTTTTTAGCAACAACGAGTTAATATTTTGAATAATACTATTCATCAACTCTCCTAAGTGACATACATATGTCACTATACATCAAATAACAAAACGACATATGTTTGCTACGTAGGACAACTACCAGTAATTTTTGTCCATTAAAGAAAATTGTTAGATGTTTCTCTATATCACTCAGTGTTCATTATGCATTTGAGATCAAGTTGTAATCACTATTTATTCCATTGATTATGCCTGGAGATATGACTTGAGAAAACTTTTATTGGAGGGTGACTCGACTTATTTTGCTGCCATTTTTGTGTTCTCATTCCTAGTGTGTTCCTTAGAGGTGGCGATCAGCATGGAATAGACATCACATGTAAATTATCATTAGACATTTATTGTGAGGGTAACAAAATGACGAACTCTTTGACTTCTAGAGTGCCTAGGCCCTAGCCTCGTCTCCCCACATGGTGGTGGACAGCACTTGATTTTATTTTTGAGGATATTAGTCACGAGACTTGTTTATATATTTTGATAATGATTGTACTTTTCCATCATTACTACTAAAATGTTTAATGTGTAGATGATGAGACTGCTAAGGAGGCACCACCCTAATTGTGACGTCTCAATGCACTTTATCTCCAACAAGTTACAAGCCTTATAGGACAATTAATAGTCTAAGAATGAATGTATGGAAGAACCAATGTGAAATAAATTTAAGGTTTAATTACTAATTTGGAACAAATTAAAGTTGAGTGACCAAATCGAGAGCTACCTAAAGGTCTTGTGACCATTTAATTTTTTTACCACTACTGGCCCATAAACATTATCAATGATTAATATGCATCATAATTTTATTAATGATTGATACAGTACTCAGAAACCATCTATCAAATCAACAATGGAAACCAATGTTTCTCACCGCAATCATTAAGTTCCATGTTCAACAAAAACACAAGCTCGCAACTTCGAATCTACTTTATCTAGACCTATACACACACACATACATACACATATATGTCCGTATGTACGTATGTACGTATATATACGTACAGATAAGATTAAAAATAGAGGAAATTTCACAAAATGTCCATTTTTACTTAGTCATTTACAAAAATATCCACCATTACAAAAATGTCTAATTTGGAAGAATTTAGATCAAAGTACCCTTATTAATAATTTATAATTTCATACTAAAAGAGTGTTTAGGAGCCATATTTATGCAAAAATGCATTTTGAAATAGTAAATTGATGGAAAATATGTGGTTGAAAAATAACGAAAAGTTTTTTATTTACGTATAATATTATTTTAATGAAAAATGTGTGGTTGATAAAAAGAGAAAAAAAATACATTTTGAAAAAAAGGGTACCAAACGGGGCCTAAGACAAAAAAAATGGACATTTTCAATATTGTTATTAGCCAATAAAATTTTGACACATAACCAGCCATATTAATTTCAAAAAGTTTACATGTCAAATCATAATAAATGCTATGTTTTTCATTGATTCAAAAATGTCGAAAACGACATTTTTAAATGTAGAGAAAATGTCATGTTCAAAATGAAATATCATTCTAGACAAATGAAACGGTGTTCAAATATTGAGAATGACATATAAAATGTCGAGAAATATTATTTTAATATAACTTCTCATAGAAACCACTTCTCAAAATTCGTGACAAATTAATAAAAAAATCAAATATCGAGAACAATATTTAAAATATCGAGAATACCATTTCAAAATGTAGCTTTTCATTAGGGATATAATAAATAAGTTGGCACTAAATTCAAATGAATAGACACATTTTAACCGATACCCTTAAAATTAGACATTCTTAAAATGCCCCTTAAAAATATAATATAATTTTGCATATTCACTTTTAAAAAAAATTATATTATATTTTTAATCTTATCTAAATTTACTTATATAGTTATATAAAATTAAATAAAAATATATCATCTTAAATTTATCCAGTAATATTTATTTTCATTAAATTCTTTTGACCTTTTTATAAAACCCTAATATTCATAAAAATATCCTCTTCAACTAGAGCCCAAAAAAAAAAAAAAAAAAAAAGGAAAAGAAACATCATTAGAGAAAATACATACAAACATAGCAATATATGAAGAAGAGTTTGAAAAATTAAGAATTACCTTTTATTGTGAGTTTGACGAATTTAGTATATGAAGGATTCTCGATTTGTGTTCAGGTTATTTGATAATGTGCATTTTGAATTCAAATAGTACCCAGTAAGAATTTTTATTCTGAATTATTTAAGATTTTTGATGGGGCTATATTTTATCTTGATTTTCTTGAATTGAAAATATTGATGGCTATCTTTTCTCCTATGATTATCAAAATAAAATTTTGAATTTTCTGCTGGGATTATCTTTTTATTTTCTTTGATTTCTTGAATTCGATATAAAGGTGGCTAAACTGATGATATTATCAAAGCAAGAAAAGAAATTTGACAATGTATATTAATGACAATGATTGAAAATAGAAAAGATTATGAAAGAATTATGATGTGATAGATATATAAAAATGGTGTAGATGTATTATGTTTAAATGAATGAATATACTAAGGAGAATATTAGAATGTGATATGGATGAAGCTAATAAGCCTGTTTGGTGCAGATTTTGAAAATTAATTTTTTGACCGTTCGCTTGAAATGTGGGGCTTATCTATGAAAAGGTAAAAAAGATGGTTGACTATGTTAAATGATGGTTAAAAAAATAATTTTTTGACTTGAAAAATCAGCACCAAATAAGGGCATATCCATTTTTTATAATTTTAGTATAGATAGGTATAGAGCATGATAGATATATAACACTGGTAGATGTAAATAGTGGCTCCCTTTCACTGTAAAAATATCAAGATTCCGTTGTAATTTAAACTACCTAATGCATTTTTTTCCATTCATTTTTCATTTGTTGAAATTGTGGGATGCAAAAACATATTACTAAAAATACTTCATCTATACAAAATTATTTATAACTAATCTAGTCATGCTATTTAACTTGGTCGAAAAGTTAAAGTAAACAACAAATATTTCTTAAAAATTAGCATGTAATAAATAATACACATAAGTAACTCTTTATGTATTAGAAAAATAATTCAACAGCGCTTAATGTACATCATATTTTACACTTTACAACGTGTTATTACATCATTAGATGGTTTAAAAATAAAACAGTTTTTTTTTTTCATTCAATCAATTCTTGACAACATGGATGATGTCAACCATAATGTGAAGAAAGTAATGTACAAATGGCATAATTTACAATAATTATAAATTGACAATATACTTCAAATAATTATATTAATTAAAAGGAACTAACGTGATGCTCTAATATTCGTAGGACTTAGACAAGAACACATGCAACAACAAACGGATAGCATCGATGTCTATGACAATATTGGACATCAAATTATCCCTAATTCCTACAATTTGTTTTTTCTATACTTATAAAAAAAAGAACAATTTGTTGTTTCTATAATTTGTATGGTAAATTGCTCGGTTCGGTCGATTAGAGGGAACATGATCCTCGTCCGAATGTCCAATTTTATTATATAAATTTTTAGTTTAAATAAATAACTATGGGATGAAAAATAAGAATATTTAAGTGTGTGTTAGATTGCAAGGATTGAAGTTGCGTGAAAAGAAAATAAGTTTTAGGCAGTCCAAAATTGTCAATTACTCTTGTACTCTTTTGTAAAGTTGAGTTTTTGATAAATGTGAATTATCTAGAAAATCAAAACTTACCATCTCATTAAGAAAATGTTTTCCTTATTTTTGAAAAAAAGTGATCACGTGACTAACTTCTGAAAAATAATTTTCATGAAATAAATGTCAATCTAACACCTAAAAATAAGAACTTCGGTTAAAAATGAAAAATGAAACCAATCAAACACCCTCTAAATCTTTACCCATGCCCTATCCTCAGCCCATCTCTCTAGAATATAAGAAAGGCTGCCAAGTACCGACCCAATTCGGCCCCTTTGCCATTCCTATCTACAGAGGAGAATTTTGGCTCTGGTACATCTTTTGCGGTAAAAAATTCTTAAGATAGCTAAACTCGTGGCTCGACTTTAAATGGACAAAATTGCAGTTTAAGTCCTCAACCCTTTGCGTGTATAGCAAGTTAGTTTATAATCCTATAGACACCCTTCTCTCTCTCTCTCTCTCTCTCTCTCTTCTTTTTCTTTTTCTTTTTTTAAATTTCAATTTTCATCTTTTAATATCATTTTGATGACTCTTGCTTGTTTGGTCTAAAACGGTAAAGACAGTTTTAAAGAAAATAATAAAAGATGAAAAGAGAAAAGAAAGAGCATTGGCGTCCCAAAGTTCGAACTTAATCAGTTAGATATCTCTTTCTCTTTTAAGTGGGTCATTGAAATTTCGTAAGCTTACTCAACACAAAATAACATGAAAGTTATGAACAACGCAATATAAACAAATAGATTATCATGATTTAGGTCAATATTTCTATTTGCCAAGCTAGTGAATTGAATTGAAACAAAATCATAATCCATCGGTTGAATTAAAACAAAATTAAATTCATTATTCTTCTTAAAATCAGGATATAAGTTGAAAAGTAAATTTATGAAAATGAATTAGGTAAGAAAATGGGATACAACAATACTTTAGGTTCCCATTATTCTATACTATATTAAAAGTTGTATGGTACTAATTTTGAAGTTTAGAGTCTTTAGTAAATAGCTTAGCTCAAACATATCAATATGGAAAACCAATCGACGCAAGTTTAACAGTCTAATCGTGCACCATGTAAAGATGGCAATAGGGGCCGCGGCCCTCCGAGTCCTATCTAATCGGGATTTTTCGAAAGACGAGATTTAAAAATTCGTATTTTTGTCCTTTTTACATTTAAAATACGACATTTTAAAACATAAAAATAAAGTCCCTGTTTGGCATTCATTACGTAGAAAAATTAATGGGTGAAATAATATTTTTTTAAAAAATGAATGATTGAGAAAGAATGAAAAATTAACGATTTACGTGTAATATTATTTTATAGAAGATTGTATAATTAAAAATAAGAGAGAAAAAAATGAAATATAATGGAATGAAAGTTAATGGAGCCCAAACAGGGGCAAAATAAAAAGAGACAGATCGTACGCCAACTCGTCACCATCAAGATTTTGCCCTAGTAGATGAATTAAAATCCAACTTTAATTTAATTCAAAATCAATGATTAATTCCAACTAATTTTATAAAACCAAAAACTTTTCAACCACACATTTTATCAACTTTTATCAAAATCTACTAAAAATTTAATTTTAATTTCTACCAAACAGGGGCTTTGTAACTCATTAGCGGGTCCCACCCCATTCCAGGGGAACCGTACAGGTGCTGTCTTGTATGGTGTATTTGCTGTCATTCTTGGACTCAAAACCAATGAAAAATTGCCAAATGTTCCTGTAACATAACTTAGGTGACAATGCAAGGACAAAATTTTTTCCTTCCCTAACACCATGATAATGTACAACCATATGCCACTAACCCAGAAAAAATTTCCTGGTACACACTCAGAATCTCAAATCCAATAACCTAAATGACAAGTCACAAAATATTTCCTATATACACACCTTAAACCCTGCAACCTTATAACATGCAAAAACTCGTCAAATATAAGAACCAAAAGACAAATCAAAATTATAAAATTATTCTTAATATAAGATAAATTGAAGTTTTAAAAATGATCATAAAACGAAGAACTTCACCGAAGAATTTCAGCATGAGATACGATGCTATCTATACAACTAGGCTGCAACAATGCCAAACAGAAAATTTTATAACAAATGAGAATAGCCTATAAATTAGAAGCTGTCTATGGCTTGTCAACTAAATTGGAATAGCCATAAAAACACAAAGAAAAAGAACAACAAAAGGCAGAAAATGATAAACACCGTACGGTTGTCTACAAAATGATATAGATTTTGCGAGAACTCCCGAGATTACTCTTCTTAAATCCTGATAATACGTAACGAAGAGGCACGAGGATTGACTAGTTGTCTTACTGTATAGTCTACTCTGTATCCCTGAAGCTTTCACTTGTCAACCAAAGCTTTTTTTGGACGACAAGCACAACCTCGTCTCCTTCTTGGTCGGGGTTTGAAGTGGAATCGGCTGTCGCAACTGCTTCCCAATGCAATGCAGATAAATACTTCTTTACAAACTCGATGACGGATTGTTTGTCCCGGATAATAATGAAACCTGTAGGCCTGAGAATTCGATCCATCTCGAGCAGTAGATCCTCACCACTACAACCTTTCTTCTCAATGTCGGAAAACACAGTCCAAGCATGGAGCAAGTCGTAAGTCCTGGGGTATGTTGAGAAGGCTTCACACCTGTAGATCAGTCAGACGTGATCCATCTTCCAGATTCTAAAACATGTTCAATTACGAAATGATCCCATATGGAATGTTGAATTATCTTAAGGAAAAATATTGAGATACAAAATATTTTGACGAACTTTCCAAGTCACTTTACAAACCAATGGGGGTACTCAATAACTAGCTGATAGTCTCTGAATTCCTAATCCGATTTTGTTTTTCCCATTTAAGTATTTTTATTCTCTTGATACACAAACAGAGATTCTTGAGCTAAAAATAACTCATATATGCATGTCAACATTTTGATTTTGTCTATCTTTAAGGCGACTCCTCTCAGAAGCATGGAGAAAAAACAGTTATCATAATGTGTGATAAACGGGATCACGAAGTCACCCATATAAAACACCATATTAACGGTAATCTAGGAATTTTCCACATACCAGTTGTGTGTCGTGCCAATCAAGCCTCTATCATACACAATCTTAAGCATTTTGGGCCCATCCTCAGGGATAACATTCATCACCCACACATTTTTATCCTTCAAAGCAGCAGCAAATGACCCTAAATTGGCTTTCATGTCCATCACGTTCCTCAGAGTATCTGATGAGATCTTTGGACTCAAGAGATTCCAGTAGCTCTCAACCCTCCGGCGCCAAAGTTCCTTTGTGCAAACAAGAAACACAAAGTCAACATTGAATTCACTATTTATAATAGCCGCGTGAATCAGATAAGCAAGCAGCCCAAATTGAAAGAAAACAAATAGATGTAAGAAAACTTTCCAAATACCGTGTCTTTTCCGAACATTTCACTTGAATAGCCAAAATCAGCAAGCCGTGGAGGAGGAGAAGTTAATCGGGCAGGCCATGGTGCAAGGCCACCACCTCTAGTTTTGTGATCATCTGATGCGAGGGGAAACAAAACATTAGAAATGAAGTTACAGGTCTATCAGAATAAATTTGGTTGCAATATCATATATGAGCTCGAATAAAACAGAATACCATTGCAGAGATCAATCTCAAAATCCCAGAGCAATTATTAAAGGTGGTTTGCTTCAAAAACTATCAGTCCAATTAATTCCAGTTTCAAGTGAGAAAGTAAAAATGACAATGAAATAAGGTTTAAATGAAAAACAAGGCGTGGCCAAATAGACACTTATAAGCCGTCAAGATAGATTAAGCAAAGTAGAAAATGCTTGAATACACATACAACTTCAGTATACCAAAGGACATAATCCTTAGCTTCATGTTCACTATATGCCAAAACATTTTAGGACCTCAAACCTAATGAATTTTAACACTTATACCCCTTCCCTGTAAGTAAACTGATAATTTATTGCAGATACAACCACCGAAGTCATTTTCCAATAAACATTGGGGACGATTCCATGAATATTCTTTCGCACTTATTTGATCCAAAGCTTTACCTACTGAAAGTCCAACAAAATCAGTTTTTTTACTACTACATCGGGTTAAGTCCATTTTAGTTTATCCCATTCTTTAGACTTGCTCTATCGGAATCGTATCGCTATTAGTATTAGGAACTTTTTGAAATTTATATGATATGTACTGAACCATCTAAGTAGTCATTTTCTCTTAGTATATCCTCAATCTATATCACTTTCACTTGTTGGCATATAACCTCCTTTCTTCATTTTATTAATTCTAACATGATCCCACTTCCATGTTACATCTAATAAACATTTTCATTTAAAAACACCGAGTACCAGGTCACAAAGATGATCTCGTAATCGTTCTTTAAAACTTTCCGTTTTACTTTGTAGATACCTTCTTAACATAATCTCTATAGCATTTCTTCATTTTCTCCCGCCTACACTAATCCTCATTCCTATGCATTACCTACCTCCAAGCCCATTTTTCATATAAACAATAGACTTATACTTAGACCACAATTTAGGATTACATTAGCCCCTGTTTGACAACTATTATATGAAAGCTCTTTTTTCTACATACTAATTTTCAACCATATATATACACAATAAAATATTATGCACGTAAACCCAAAAATTTTTCATACTTTTTTAACCACACATTCTCCTAATAATCACTATTCAAAACATTATTTTTTAGGAAATAATGGCCACCAATCAACTAAATTCAATTGAACAAGAAATTCTTGTTTTCAATAACGAATTATGGAATGGGAATTCTGTATACATAAAAATCATGATAAATGAATATTAAATAAATAAATAATCTTGCTTAAATAATAAAAATTCCTGATTCAGGCCATTGTGCTAAAGTAATAATCTTGCTAATTGCATAAGATAATAATTTTATTACAAATCCTCAAGGGCCCTACGAGAATAATCTCGCTTAAATAATAAAGTTTCCCCACTAGGGCTAGTGTACTAAAGTAACAATCTTGCTAAATGCTTAAGATAATAATTTTATTTCAAATCCTTTAGGGCCAACGAAAATATAAATTAATAATTGGTTTAATTCGTAAATTTTTATAATAGTTAAGAAACATTTTTACTCGACACTTATATTTTCTCATTTCATTTTTTTCCTGAAAAATATGCATATAATGTTGTTTGCTTTTTTGCTTGCTCTCAAACCAAATTCAACTTATCTCTAATTTTATGCAAAGCATATACCACATTTGGTATTTTTTCCCCTTTGTATACGATGCTGGAGAGGTTTATTTTGAAGAAATACATGGTAAAACAAAATTATCATCTAAATCATGATCATTCTTGGTGGGCAAATTTAGTACCCCTTAACCCTGTGAAAGCATATGCAGGAACTGTTCAGTCCCACTGATCCATTGAACAAGAGCCTTTTCACACGAGACTCCCAAACACCATGGCCAACTTTATCTCAGTTGCGGAAGGCTATTCCATCATCGTATTATTTTCACTAGAATAATTTAAGAGGTGCTCGAAATCTATCAACTTTTTGTAGCATTGACAAGAAAATGGCTTCACGTAATCTCTATAAATTAATAAATAATTCTCTTATCCACAAATTAATAACCTCTAAGGTAATAATTTTTCTCGATCCTAACATTATTAATTTTTCAGGGAACACATATCTTCAGGTGAAATATTCTCCTTTATGGTTTTGCAAAGTGCTTTGTTGCTACCTCGGGGTTCAAAATTTGGCAAAAAAATCACTTTATGGTATTTGTGTCATTAGCATCACCTAAGGTGGTAATTCGCCCATCTTTAAGGCCAAGTGAGGAATATACACAAGCACAAATGCATTCTCTAAGAAATTTTCCTTTTTTCAATAGAAGTTAAGTCACTAGCTTAGCTGAACTTTTCAGGATATGCTCTAACTTAAACCTAGATTTTGTTGGTAGAATATTAGTGAGCATCGACTGCACACCCAGTTAGGTACTCCGATAAAAACGCATGATACACAAACTAGGGTGGTTGACTAAATATATTTTATCTGTCAATGAAAAACAATATAAAATTAGCAAAGTACCATACCAGAAAAGACTCTAAGGTAGTAATTGATAACCGTCAATTAGCAGTTGACCATCCAACTATAAAATTACTGTTTGCTCTTCTCCAAATTGAATATCCATTCCATTTTGAAACATCTAAAAATGAAGTCCACTTCCCTTAAACCCACTAATTATAACATGTCATTCACAAAATTCAATTATTTAATATATCCTGTCTAAATTCAAGCACATGGCTTTATAGATGTCATAGATCAGGTTAAAAATGAAAGAGGATAAAAGAATACTTCAATTTTATTTTTTAATTTTTAATTTAAAAAAAGAAAAAGAAAAAATACCCCTCTTGCCAAATTGATTAGGACTCCAATTACATGCAGGGATCACTTCTCTACCCCTTCTTAGTCTTCATATAAAGCAATCACAATGTACATTGCAGTCATTACTTAGATGTGAAAACTGTTATTAAGAAGTGGCAAGATACACCTTCATCCACTTCTTTCCAGAAAACTGTCCTAGTTAAGAAGATGAATGCAAGCGATGAACATGTAATACATGATGTAAGGTACTTACGATCAGAATAAGGTGTAATGCATGCTTCCATTGGGACATCCCACACAGCATCTGGATCGTCATCAGATCGACACATAGGTGGGTGAGTGCCAGGTTCTCTTTCCAAATAACAGTCATTTGTTAAAGGCTTTTGCCAAATTACAGTTTGGTTCCTTTTCGCAGCAATTGTCCAACACATACGTTCCACAAGTGCACTCATCTCCCTCCATATTCTTAGGTCTTCTTCATCCTGTGCATAAGCTTCAGGGGACGAGTAGGCAAAATAGCCTCCAGGTCTAAGAAGCCTGTCCAACTCAAGAAGAAGGAGCCCATCCCTCTGCAGCCAATCAATTCTACAACGAGAACAGTGAGCAAGTTCAAAAGATCTGCTTGGGTAAGGAAGCCTCTTTGTTCCAAGAACACCAAGAAATGCAGGAATTCCTCTCTCTAGCGCAAATTGGATCTGATTTTGGTGCACATCATTTGGAGCTAAAGACATAGCAATAATATCGGACTTTAGAAGGTAAGCACCAAAACTGGCAACACCACAACCAACATCAAGAACTGTACGCAACCTTCCCTGATTGTTCAAGTTATTTTTTGAGAAGTTCAGCATCTGCAAAACACAGAGCATTACTAGAATCAGAAGCAAAATTTCATAAAATTTTGAGATATGATGCAGAATAATGATCATAATGCAACAGCTGAATGAACATAGTGTACTCATCAGGTTGAATTTCTTGGTCAATTTTTTGATACTACAAGAATCATAATACTTACGTTTGCCATTGAAGCAATGTATTTGCCAGCCCCATAATGAAAATGAGTACCTCCTCCAGGAAAATTAATCTTATCACCTTTAACAACCATCCAATTCTGGTCAGACTTCTCATGTGCAAGATGAGTATGAGGAATGTTTGCTTTCCATACTTCATCTCTACTTTTTGGCCACTTAATTGGGATCTGTAACCCCATAGAATAAATAAAAGGAACCAGCATGAGTTAAAAGGTTTGCGAAATATCACAGTCAAGACTTTGATAAAATTTGTCTTTTTTATTTACCTTGTATCCTGGAGGAGGAGGAATTAAGCAATTGTACCGTCTCTCAGGTAAGGGACAGTGTCTTTCATAGTGCTCCATCAAAGATAAATCCAACTTCAATCTCATTTGATATATAAGATGTCTGTCCAGACAGGGGATTAGCTCCGAATGACGATCATCACAAACCTTGAATCAAACAGAAGCAATGAATAAAGCTGTTCAGTTAAATAAAAAAAGGGAAAAAACAAGCAATAGGGAGGTAAGGTTTCCTTTTTTCCTTCTTTAAGAGAGTGCATGAGTGCATGTGGGGTTGGGGAGAAGTTGATTTGTGTACTACATGGTTAGCAACAGAAAGACTTACAGGGAAACTCTTTGTGACAATACTATCCTCCCCATCATCAAGTCCAAACTTGAATAAAGACTCATCCTGCTTGCCTCCAAGATCAGAGTCTTCATCACCACTCAAATAAGAGGACCCAAGTTTTCTCAAAGAACGGCTGCCATACTCTAGAGCAGACTCACCGGCATTCTTAGAGCCAAAATAGACATACAGAAATACAACAAACACAGCCCCAATGCACACAGAAGTTAACAAGCGCTTGTTTTGTGCTCCATCTGATCTACCCCTCATCATTTATATAGCTTAATACTTCTTAAAGAACCTTCAGCTTCTCCTTTCAACTCAAAGTTCAGATATTATGACCACCAAATAATTTTATAACTGAGCTTCCAAAACTTTGTTGATTGAGGTGGAATTTGAGTAGATCTGAAGTAGATCCAAAAAAAATAAGCGTTAGGCATGCAAAAAACCAATGTAAATAAGTCAACAGCCCTATTCTTAAAAGTTGACCTTAACATATCCATTAGATGATTCCAGTGTGAATTTTATTTCTTTGTTTAATCAATGGTGGTGGAACTACAAGTAGATATGTGTAAGGTTTGCAGTAAATTTTACAGTCAAGGATCAGTAAAAGTTATAATTTAAGTGATATGAGAGACTGCCCAAAAAAAAAAAAAAAAAAAGAAAGAAAGAAAATCCAAAAAGATAATACTAGGATGCACCTGCTTTCCTTCTTTCTAGAAAAAATCACAGCAATGGTATCATCTTTATCATTTTAACCCCATTTCAAGAAACAAAAATTGAATCTACATCAAGAAACTCAAAGTACGAGCTAAGACTTAATCTTTTAGATCAATTGAGTTGAATTACAGCAAAATCAAGGCAGATCTAATTACATATTTCTTAACACTTCATAATTATTGCGCTAATCGTTAATTATAACAATCATTAAAAACACAAACCTTATCAATCCTGCAATATAGACAAAATCTAAATGGATATAAATTTACAGCAAATCAAGAATAAAGGGACGGTAAATGAAATAAGATCGGATTAAAATTCAATGCAGTAACAACCTGGGCAGATCTGAATTGAATTATCTGAATCAATTATGTGTAAGAAATTGCAAATATGATGTGAAAATGAAAGAAAGTGAAAAATGGCCCAAGATTTGTACGGAGTGGGGGAGCAAGAGAGAAAGGGCTGGGGTGTATCCTTTTCGCTACAAATTGAAATGGGAAATCGGATAGATAGCCATATAGATATATAGATTGGAGGCGTGGGTGGGCGGGGGGAGTGGCAGTGACCGGGGTAGGAGTGGGAGTCGCGTGGGGATAGATCTCAGTTATGAGTTTCTGTGCTCTCGTGTTTTTGGTTGGAGGAGGTGATAATATATTATTAACACAATTTTGACTGCGAATTAACCCCCCCTCCTACCCCCCCCCCTAATTAAATTAAAATTGATAAAAATCATGAATTCAATTAAATACGTAATTAAATTAATTATTAATTAATTAATTAATTAATTTTTTTTACCTAAATCAAATCTAAATTATGTTTCACCTTATTTATGAAAAAATGAATTTTAAAATAGTAGATTGAGCTCTCATTTGGCCTCCATTAATTTTCATTCCATTATATTTCATTTTTCTCATTCTTATTTTCAATCATACAATCTATCATAAAATAATATCATATATAAATCAAAATTTTTTCTTCGTTTTCAACCACTCATTTAAAAAAAAAAATGATATTCCACTCATTTTCATTTCTATAAAATGGGGGTCAAACGGGGGCTGAGAGAGAATGTGTGGATGAAAAATAAGGAAATTTTTTTATTTATGTATAATATTATTTTAATAAAAAATGTGTAATTTAAAAAAAGAGAGAAAAAATGTATTTTAATAAAAATGAGAATCAAACAGGATAAATGGAAAAAATTATATTTAAAATAATGATTTTTAGGAGAATCAAGGATGCATAATTAAAAAAAAGGAAAAAATCTTGGATTTACATACATAGTATTTTATTGTGTGAATGTGTGGTTAAATCACATTTTGTAGTTTCGAATCCTACAAAAATGTTGATGAAAATTTTATTTTGATCATAAATGAATACAATTAAAAGCCTCCTAAACAAACATGTCTTGTTACCTTTTCCCGTTATTTAAATTTATTACACAAGCAAAGCGAATAATTTATAATGGAATAAGCTTAATGAACATTGAAATCTCTACGACTACAAGTTACTGAAGGAATAATCAAAATTGTTTCGATTTTTACCATATTTATTATTTTTTAGTGAACAAAATATTATTACAACAAAATAACAATATTACCACTTAGTGCTAGTTTTGTAATTTTAACTACACATTTCATTGGAGCCATCAGTTTTTATCAATATCACAGTCCCTTATTTATCCATAACTAGATTATGCCTAAAATGTGATTCATTTTGTCGAGTAGTTAACTACTTCACGAGGACCGAAATGAAATTAAAGCACGTTATAGTATGTCAACCAAAACTATGCCTACTTCAATTGTATCTTAAAAAAAATGATATTTAATTCATTTTGGTTAGATATCAAATACACAATCATAGCTATTAAAACTGGAATGCGACAAATTGTCTGATTTGAAAAGCAGCCACTTAGACCTGATATTAGATCGAGTGATACTCTTGAATAAATCAAGAAATAATATAATATTAATAATATACGTGTGAGACAAACATAGAAATGAAGTGTATTTCAAGATGTAACAGTAAGGTAACTCGTTAATATATTTTTGAATTATTTTCTTAAAATTGCAATTAACAATTACTTGCTCCAACGCGGTTTTAAGCCGAAAGAGGAAATAAAGTGTCGGTGATCTTGCACTGAGCTGGACTTCGGAAAACGACCCAGAGGAATCCGGGCTCCCCTGTGGGCCCAAAATATGAAGAGGGTCTTTTTCACACTATGCTAAATAAAATGTAAATTTATCAAAGGTCTAAATTATTTGGAAAGTCTTCCTTATTTATAGGCCGATTTCTTGACCAGAGTTGGCCCAAATATTATTAATTTTAAAAGTGATAATTACACTACACACTCAGAGCGTGTTTGAGCCCAGTTTATTATTAAAAAATATATTTTACAAGAGTATTTTTTGGAGATATGTTGTTAAAAAGTAGGTAAAAGTTTTAATTTTACGATCAAAATTATTTTATTGAAAGAATCTATGGTTGAAAATGAGTTTTTAGATTATGAGTATCAAACATAGGCTCAATAAGTTTCAAATTTCAAAATAATTATTTTTCATACGGTAAATCAATCTTAACCCAGACAAGCCCACCACCACCACCATCGGCACCTCCACTTTCTATACACATCATCGTCATTGCCTATACCCACCATTACTTCCTTACTTACCGCCACCATCTATTGCAGTCGATGACCGCACCTCCACCTTTTAAATTCAAAATTAGATTGACTTTCCAACCCTAATCTATCAGTACTTCATCATCATGCATCGTTTGGGATGAAAAAGACCTGTCAACTTATCAAATTGAATCGAAAAATTGTGATTTTAAAACTGTTGGTTTAGATTCCCATGGTTTGTCAATATTTTTAGTTTCACACTAAACCAAACTATTTAGAAATGGTTCGGTTTAGGTTTCCATAGTTAAAAGTCGCTTGAAACCAAATTGGACCATTTATCCATTTTAAAAAAAATATTTTTTGCTCATAATATGTTATTTATTAGTTTAATGGAATAATAATTTATGATAATATCTTTCTTATCTATTTCGAAAATAATAAATTTACAATTTTAATTTTATGGTGAACTTTATATTAATTTATTGGTTTAAACTTGCATTGAGACAGATGTATTAATATTTTAACTTAATATATAAGAAGGTTCAGGTGTGTGAGGACAATTATGGAGAAAATGACAATGGCACAAGTGATGTTTTGACTGATGCTTTGTCATGGTCGAAGGCATGTGGGATGTTCGGACACTGAAGGCATGTGGGATGTTCGGACACTGCATAGATTCAGAAAAGAATTAATTAAGACATTCGGGTTGATTTTGTAATACGGTAAGAACCAAGGTATTACTATGCCTATTTATTTGATGGCAGCATTGCATGAAAAAATTTGGGGACATGGGTCGGATTCGGTATTGATCAATGGGTTGATACGGACATGTATTCAACAACATTGAGACATCGCTGTCCAGCTAACTATAGTCCACGGATTCAGTGGGGTGGCACGCGACGACAGTTGTTGACCTTGAAAATTGGACCCTCCATGGGGTGGCACGTGACGACAGTTGTTGACCTTGAAAATTGGACCCTCCATGTGGCCAACCGATAGCCACTCCACGTATTCCTCCCTGCGCACAATCAACGCACGGTCTTCTACACACGGCCGGGACCAGCGGGGGGATGCGACGGCCGTATACACTCCGACGATCAAGTTAGGCTCAGGTGATCGAAATAGTACCAATGTTGTGCAAAATAGTGGGGAGGAGAATATATATTTGCTTACTATGGAATGCTAAGTAGGAAGAGTTTCATTACCTTTGCCTCTTGTCAAGCCTTGGGTATTTATAGGTGAGGAGAGCTGTTGGATGTGGGACACGTGTATACATTTGAACAGTATGAGGCGTCTGCTCATAGGCGTCAATCAACCGCGTCTATAGAGTGGGCGGATAGTTACTTCTCCCGAGTTGAATTGACATAAAGTTGATAGGTCACATCAACTAGCCTCATGGAGACGTCAAATCACTTTAAACCTTAGGGACAGAAAAGATCTTAACAAAGATCTCATTCTGAAATCGATAGCGGATCCTCTGGCTGAGGTTTCCAAGGTTAATTTCGCCTCGGATTAAAAGGGGGCGAGGGCGCTTCGGTTAGTCCTGCAAGATTACCTACACCTCGTAGTGTGATAGCAGATCGTCTCCATTAGTGAAATCACTTCGGGACCACTTCGGATGAGCGTTCCACACCTCGCGTGATGTGGTGGTTGACTTTCCGAGGTAGTTTAGTTAGGGGCGTAATTGAGTGTTCCACACCTCGCGTGATGTGGTGGTGGACTTTTCGAGGTGGCTTCACGTTAGGTACGCCTAAGCTTTGTAAAGTTGAATGAGGAGATCGTTCCGAGGCGGGCATATATGACGTTAAATGATTTGACAGCTGTTGCGTATTTCCAAGGTGAAAGTTGGATGCAACGCCCATTCCCCTAAAAGGCTACTGCGGCTACTTATTGTTGATGGCTGGTGGTGACCAAGGCGACGCGTTATATGTGAGCATGAGGGTCACAACAAAATCTTAGGCGTAAATCAAATCTGGCATTTCATTTCAACAACCTAGATTGATGATGTGACGGACGGCCTAGATTGATTGCATTTGAATTCAATGGTGGGAATTAGTTGGAGCACTCTATAAAGAGCGGACTTGAGCATTTTTTGGATTTTTTACTCTTGCGAAAACAGAAAATCCCATTACTCTCAAATCTCTTTGCAATTTTCGGCGTTCTTCAAGCGTTTCCAGCGAGAACTTTGATTTTTCGACGACCACACACCACTTTTTGACCATTTCCGACTAGGGAACACTCAAACTCGTAAGTTTTAGTAACTATTTTGAGATATTTCCTTTCTAAAAATGGCTTCCGAGGGTGGTGCTAATTCGGGGAGAGGGCTAGAGTTAGTACGGATGGACGAGCCCATTGTGGCGACCTCTTCCGAAATAGTCGAGGCGATACTTGGAGGGGAGAATATTTGGAAGAGGCTGGATATCCCAGTAGATATCTTTGTGCATTGGGGGGCATCGAATTAGCCCTCTAAGCTAAAGGAGGCCGACCTAAAAAGACTTAGAACTGAATATAAGATACCGGATAGCATCCCCGAGCCTGACGAGAGGGCCTGCTACCCTAGGCCAGGGTTTGTGACGATAAGTGAGGCGATCCTTAGGGCTGACCTTAGGCTTCCAATTCACCCATTTTTCGGGATGGTGCTTAGGTCTTACGGCTTAGCACTGACCCAACTGAATCCGAACTCCTGGAGCCAGATGGTAGGCTCCTGGATGTTATGGAAAGAGGCGTCACCAAGAGTGGAGATGCCCTTCTCTGTTTTTCAGACTCTCTATATTCCAAAAGTAATAGCCGGAGAAATAAGACGAGGGACTGGTATTACCTGACCTCTTGGGATTTCCATACTCCATTCGTGCTCGATCTGTCGAGCTCTATCAAGGAGTGGAAGGGCTCGTGGTGCTGGGCTGCCGAGAGATGGGATACGATGGAGGTGGATTCCCTGGCACCTCTTATGGTCCCCATGAAGGACTCGACACTTAGTGAGTATTGTAGCTATATTTCTTTT